TTCAGAAATGCCATTTTGATTTACACTTTGATTAAAAGACTGTATAGGGTATCTTTGAAAGCACATTCTCCTATATACCATATATCTGCTTTATACACCCTTGGGTGAATCAATTCATACAAGTCCTTCCTATAATTCCCTGATGTTCTGAACATTTCAGACAGAGCTTAGGTGAACATATTTCAAAGTAGGAATTAGATATGGACTTAAGCGATGCAGCTGATTTACAAGCTGCTTGTGAAAAAAACAGCCTAAATGGACATATCAGTGACAGCTTTCATGCCACCAGTTCTCAGCAGCAAAGCCAGAAGCATTTACTCAATGTGTTTTGGTCATCCCATACATTTAGCCTGACCAGCATTAGTCTTCCCTTCTGATGGCTCTGCACAGAATTGCTCCCAGCACCAGCTTCATATGATAAATTTCAAATGTCAAGGCAAGAGATGAAGTGCATGAGATGTTTCTCCCTGTGCTGTGAGCCCAAGGAACTTAGAGTTGGTCATCTCATTATTTAGACTAATGCCTCAGGAGGATTTAATGTTTTACTTTGGGTTAATCACATTAGCAATAATATAATGCATCTACAATGGCCTGGGCTTCTTTCCAAAGCCGTGCTGTTTATGTTCAAGGAAAAAAAGGAACAGACACCTAAAGTGATTCAGAGAACAAACATTTTACTGCTCTAAAAATCACTGACATAATTCACTGGAGGGAACTGTTATTTCTGAGCCAGGAATTAACTAGACTCATCTGTAGGAAATTGTCAAAATACATCTGAGCACAGTTGCTTTTCCTCATACAGATCTTTAGTAAAATCAGTTCTAATTTTTCCTGGCTGGCAAAGCTTATTAGTAGTCTAAGTAAGATGCCAACAAAATGGCCTAATTCCTGACTTTTTTTTTTTTGAAAGCTGTATTCATCTCCACAGAGTTCATAAAAGTAGCAATTAGGATATTTGCTATGTGTGAAAATGATACTTTTTATAATGCATCAGTGTTTCTGTCTTTTTGCATTAACTGGAAATGCATTTTTAATAATGCTCCAGGCAGTTTTTTATTTCTACATTTTCAATATTGTGTACAGAGCATTTGATCTATAGACTTCCTTGCAGCGGGGGAGAGGCATGGTAATAATAATGAAAACCTTAAAGCACATGAAGTTTGATCAATATTGTGTTTTGTCTACTGTCTCTTACTGAAGAGACAATATAGAGATGTCTTTGTATGCCTATACATCTCCATTTGCAACATCTTAAGTTAAAGCAAAGAAAAGCACCTGGCATTATCAGTAGCTCCCTAAGACATGTAGGCTGATATCAGTCCCAGTAGGTGCTATTGAAAATACAAGATCATTGACTTAAATAAGGGAAATCAAAGCATACACACACATCCCTTTTTTTTTTCTGTTCCCCCAAAACACAGGGTAGAGTTTGGATGAGAGGCATCACAGTCACTTCATGAGGACATCACCATGCTGTGTTGTAATTCAGTATTTCAAAAGCTCAATTTGGTTGGCACTCAAAACAAACACCACCATTACCACCAAAAGGGACACCCAATCCCATCCTTTCTCCTAAGTCAACACTATAATACAATATCAAGTGATCTTCTGAGTCCCGGTTTTCATCTGAGACCTAAAGCTCAGGTGAAAACTAAACAGCAAATGCAGCCTTACTGAGAAAAAGATGATTGCACTGTATATCCCAGCTACTACCATGCACATTCCTCATATCTGAGCTTCTCCTGCAGTTTTATAAAATCATTCAAGTCACATCATTTTTCACATATTGTTATTTTTCTGTTTCTCTAATTGCAATGCAGCATTTCTGAGTGATGTGACCCTTGTAACAACATTTTTTTTCTAGAGGTCTCTGCATCTCAGATGAGTTTGAAGTGGATTTTTTTTTTTCCAATTTAAAACAAACCAAATTTTTAATAATTTTTTAACATTTAAATATCAAATAATCTACTGTTAGCATAAGAATTTCATTTTAGAATTCTTCTGGTAGCAATTATCTTGAATTTTAGATTTACTGAGGGTTTGGGGTTAGGGTTTTTTCTGTAGCGGAGATTAAAAATAAAAATTCAAGAGGATTACAATCCTTTCAAGCTTTCCCAACCTTCCCCATTAATCTATATCTGATTCCTACAAGCAATCATTTACCTGTTCAATAAGTAGAGTGCAACTGCAAAGGGCAGTGACTATCAACTATGGCTGTGCAACTGCATGACCCTGCTCAGGTCTTTCTGCTCTGCTTGCACTTCAAAACAAGAGGGAGATTACAGACAGAATTTAAATGCTTGAAAAGCAGGCAGTAAAGTGCTTACCTTGTTCTATAGATCTCACTTTTTACATAAATGAGCTGCATAAAACTATCTATTTCCTTCTCTGAGAGAATAGCAGATGACAGCAATAGCAGTAAGTGCCAGTCTCCAGTCAGTCTGCTGATGAAAACCACACTAGATGAGTGATGCCAGTACAATCATAAGCGGAAAGTTAAAATGACCATCACATCCCTGTATAACTCAGAAATGCTGAGAGATGGCAAAGATATTAAAGAAAGACTCTTTGGAAACACCCAGTGCCAGTGTAACTTTGCTCCCTTGGAGTCAGTGACAGCAGTGATGGTGCTTGACTGAGAGCCTTGGGGAAACCTCCCCTCACACACTGCAACTCAGAGCCTGCTCAAAACACAGAGGGGGCATTTCAGAAAAAGAATGGATGAAAAAAAAACTGCTCTTTTGGGGAAGGGAGAATGGAAAGCCTCACATACAAGTACGTGACATACAGACCGGTCCTTCCTGAGGAGTGGCAAACAGAACAAAGTTTTACTGAACTGTCAGAGGGATCTGAACATTGCCAGGTTCCTAGAAAAACAATTGTATCTGAGATACATGTTTACCAAATAAGGATATTAAAAGGGGGGAAAGGGGTAGAGTTTGTCATATATTTTAGAACAGAAAGTTTATTAATTTAAATATGTACTACTAAAAATACCATCTTCTGAAAGATTTTTCTTCTCCCTGAGGCAGAAGTAAAAAATATGCAAGAGTATTGTTACTCAAGCAAAGAGCTATAAACACCAAAGTAGAAGGTGATAGCTGGATCACCTACCACAGTGCAATGAAAGGTACATGAACAACATGTGACTATAAGCATATATAAATAGGAGAACAAAAAATAAAGGGGAAACAAAAAAAAGACAGGGGGAAGTAAAGTGAAGAAGAGTCTCACAGGAGAGACAATAAAAGAAGCCAGTATTAATCAGCTGATGTCCCTAGAGTATGTTAAACGTTGCTGCCAAGGGTCAGTGGGTTTCACTAGTTGTCTATGGTCCACGTATTGAATATATTTGATTGGATAATTCCTGTGAAATCCAAGAAAAAATTTTTAGAGAAAGCACAGAAATCAAATTTCTCACACATTCCCTTTGTATCAGGAAGCAACTGTGAGTTTGGATCCCAAAGACTGCACACACGTACGTATAGACACAGGAATGTAAATTGGCCTTGCCCTGTGTTTTTCAGAATGCAGGTAGGAACCCCAAGCAGCTCACTGCCTGCACAAAAACTCCTGAACTGACCTGCAGCCACCTGCTGTGAGTTCAGCCTCTTTAGTTAGCTGGAAGCAGGAAGTAAGATATTGGGGCAGAATGGGTTTGGCAGAGTCAGTAGCTGCTATTTGTCCAATTTGACATGGAATTCAGTATAATTCATGCAATTAGTGTCTGTTGACATAAACATACAACTTGCATTTCCCATTTAGCTAAATTTGGTGATCTTTGGCATAACAAGCCTGAGTGTCCCAATAAACAGTAATACTTCTTATTCTGTCATAGAATCTACTACAATAATCTTTCCTTAAACCTGAAAACTAGTCCCAGGTCAAACAGTTGCCAGAAGTTCACATTATTTTGGTTGCTGCCAACCTTCATGCTGATTTTTTTCCAATTCTATTCACATGCACTGATGTTACTACAAATGATGATTTCTGAAATTTCCACAAAAGTTAAATTATTCAGTTAACATAGTTTCATATTTTTAAACAAGAGGCCTGATTCCTCACTACAGGTATATTCACATGGCACAATGATATTCATAATCTCCTACATGTGCCAGAAGCATTATAGGGATGTAAATCTGTGCTGCTCAGAGCCCCTGCACTGGAGTGCCATGACTGTGAGACATCTGGCACTGCACTGTGCCATGCAGATGTACTTTGCTACTTCAGAGTGACCACACTATTTTAGCACCCCAATATTAGGATAAAATAGGATCAACAGAATAGAGAACCGGATCCCAGCTATGTATGAGTCCAGTTCATTGTCCTAGTTACTATGCACATAAGTGCACAATGTAAATGTAAATGCAAGCCCTCATCTATTTTTAAATTTTAGCATTTTCTTCACATGGCTGCACAGCTGTGGGGAAGTAATTGGTAAAATTTTATGCAGTGATATTACCCACAATTTTACAATCTTTTTGATACTTAAGGTCACATCTAGAAACTATAACTTGTGGATCTCTGATAGAGCACTACAGTTCTTTCTTCAACCTCTTCTTCTACTTGCATTTATACATTATCTCAAGTCATCACAGCCCTCCTTTACTTGGACTGCTTTTACAGGTATATTAATTTAACTGTCACTTCTGCAACCAGGTAGTTCTCCACATGTCCACCAAAAGCAGTACGTAGACCTTGAGCACAGAACTAATATTTTGAATTTCCAAAAAGATTATCCTACCAGTTTTATGAAATTGCCAGTTCAAAAGTCAGACTATGGCACATTTATCTCTTACTCACATGATTCTACGGGTTTAAAATCACACTTTTTGTTCCACTTGAGTATTTTGTGTATAGAAAGCATTAGCCACAAGACAAACAGCTGTCATACCCGTTTAGGAAGCATCATTTACCTGATAATTTATTTTAATCCTCATCAGCATGAGATTAAACTGATTTGCTCTTTCTGCTGTGAGACACAAGTGATTACTCTTGCCTTAAACTTAAACTAAAGTGTTTTCATTTATTAACAAAATCAGCTTGAGCTGAACTTTGAAGATCTATACTCATGAAGTTCTCCATGGGGTTTATGTCAATCAAATATTGTGCTATAACAAAGCAGATGTTTTTGGCAGCACCAGTCCACAGTAAAAGCAGCATGTAGCAGTAATATAGCAATCTAGAAGCAAAAGCAGATTTGAGGTATCAGTTTGTTAGGAATACACATCACACTTACTGCCACACTGACAAGAATAATGTCCTAAGAAACCATTATTTATCCTGAAGGTTTTTTAATTTCAATTGCAATGATTTATTAGAGATCATGAAACAATCTTTTTTGGATTTTGCTCATGTTTCTAGTCTTTACAGTTAATAATTCTGTACTGAATGCAATATGCTGATGATGGATAGCTACAAGCTCCAGATTTATTCATGCAAAAATATTCAAGACTCCTGTTGCAAATGCTGCTTAATGGCCATCTTTGAAAATTGGGTTATAAATCACTTACTCAGAAAACCCTTCCTGGGATGTGTAGTTTTTGAGATGTAAGCTGAGGCTTAAAGACTGGTTTAGTTACAATGAGACAGCCAGTGGAAGGCTGAGGGGATTGCACTGATAAGGTGAGTTCCTCCAGTAAAACCTTTGACAAGTAAAGAAGTAAATATTGTTATTAATTATTTTACAGCAGCACTCTTATGATCTCTAAACAAGATCACAGCTCTGCTATACTAGATTTTGTACAAACATAATGAAGAATATGTACTTACAAGCTAAATACACAAAACAGATGAGCAATAGGGTGAAGGGAGTATTGTCTCTATTTCACAGTATGAGGTCAGAAATAGAAAGAGATGCCAGACTTTTCACCTTTTGAAGTGCCTTTGTTTTCCCACTGATCTAGAAAAGGAAATAGAGGAGACATGGTCTGACCCTTATGAGACAGCTCTGTGATATATTCCACCAGGTACACATTTACCATCACACTCTTAGATCAGGGAAGACTTGCTCACGTTAGGAGATATTTCTCTTCTAAACCTTCCCAAGCCTGATGCTTTGTTAGTTAAATCATTAGCTGCATTAAATAATACACTTATAAACAATTGTTTCTAAAGGTTTCACTGGTGAACAGTGTTTGGTACAGCAGGAGAGTGGATAGTGCCACCACTCATGGCACCACACAGGCCAGTATTTTAGGCACTTCTGAGAGGTGTGGTGTGGAATCACCTCAGTTTGAAGTGACTGATGAAACCAGGCTTCCCTGTTCTTTGCAGGACACTTGAGTTGATCAGTCATTAAATAAAAAGGGGATGGGATCAATTATATGCTCTCAGAACAGGTTTTCAAATTAAAGCAGTCCCGGCTGCCTCACCTGGAGCACAACTAACCCATGTGCACACGTAGGTGCAAACTAGACTAGGTAGAACTGCAAGCAAGATTCAACTTGCAAGAACCAGGCTTTGGTTCTGCAAATACAGAAAGCCTATACAGGCCCAGAAGGAGAATTTCAGTAATTAGAACTCAGATTTCAGAGAAACCTCTCTATTTACAGATTTATTGGCACCTTAAGTGAAGGAGGGCTGAGAATCCCAGTTTTAAGTATAGACACCAAAAGTTGGGCTCTGCATGCCTAGATCCTCACGAAGATGTGAGTCTATATGCTTTTCTGTGATTTCACTGTAGAAAGCAGATATTTTATCCTATAGTGTTGACTTTGTGGTGATTTCAGCTGAGGGAATTAAAAGTTTACAACGCCTGAATAGTGATTTACTACTTGATATTCATATGGGTTGGGTTTGTATTTCTTACTACTGGTTCCCCTGACAATTTAGGATTTATCTTTCGATCCATTTTCATTTCAAACCACATAAGAAGAGATGTTATCGACTGCTTTGTATTCAGTGACAAATTCCTCCTCTTATTAACAAACCGTCCCGGCTCTTGCTAAAAAGATGATGCACTTGATAGCACACGGGGATTTAAATACTGTCCACTGCAAGGGTACTTGTGCAGACTAATGCACAGTTCCCAGCAATTCCTAGGCCTAATTGCTACAGACTGGCTGAAGTCACAAGCTTCCAGATTTTGAGTATAGCAACTTGAAACATTCTCTGAATTCAGGTTTTGATCCAAGCCTCATTTAAAAACAGAACAAACGAAAACTAAAAAACAAACACCACACTACACATCCAGCCCCACAATTTAAAAAAAAATTTAAAAAAATGAAAAAGAAAAAAAGAAAGACCCAAAGCAAAAAAGACAATACAGAGAGGCTTTTGAATTTTGATTTCCTTCTTATCTAGGGCATTTGGACCTAAGACATTACTAAAGCCTACCTAAATATATAAACTTCGTTGCAGTATAGAACTGATTAAAAAGTCTTTGCATTTGTCTTTATGGGAAAGAAGTCATCCTAATATTTAATGTATAGAATAAAAAGATGCAAAAAAAGAAAGGCAGAAATAAAAGCATGCAATATTTAGAAGACACAAACAAGTAACAGAGAGCAACCATGGAAAGTGGGACAGAAAGATGGAAAAGAGAGACTGCAAGAAGTACAGCAAGATAACAGGAGAAAGGAGACAAAAGCTGATAACAAAGAAAGGAGAAAAAAATACTAAGAAAATATTTTCTTGAGCATCTATTAGATCTTCTCACAAGAGTGTTAAAAGAGGAAAGATGTTTGTACAAATATTAACAACAGGGTATTTCTTAAAGGTCTTTGTAGTAATTTATACAAATTTTAAGTTTGCAAGTTCTACTGGCAATAGCATTAGATCTAGCAGGTCTTTTGAAGAAGTCAAGGATGTTAACTTGAAGTGCATATTTGTGATGAATTTCAGTTGCCTTGACTGTCTCATATAATTTTTTATGCTTTATTTTTTCAATATTTAAAAACTATAAAGTAGCATCCTAGTTCATGTCAAGTATATCAGAGTTAATTATAGCAGACCATGATTTGCAATGCTACGTGCCTCATGTTAGGCTGCCAAGCCTATTTTTGGATATGAAATAATTAGCCTCAATTTCAAAACTGACTGGACCAAGTCTGCTTTGTCCATACTTAATAAAATTCCCAATGGTGAAATTATTACAAAAATGTATTGCTATTTTAACACATCAAAAAACTCTCCCATAGAATGCAGAGAATTTTTTGGTTCTTTTCCCAGGGGACTTTAAATCAGTTGGTAAGATTGTGCTATCCACACTAATTCCCAGTAGTGACATAGCATTCCATGAGAAAAACAGAAAATGCGTCTGACCATGTGTTTTAAATGAGATTAGAGATGAGAAAAAAGAAAAGTGTCAGCTCTCTCTCTGTGACGTTCATTGGCATACAAGCCTTCTTTTCTTTCTCATACATGAAAAATCTAAGACAGAAGTTTGATTTCCTTAGATTTTTTTTTCTGGCTTTAAATGTAATACTTCCATGTGAGTAGCTTCATATGTGCCATATTATAATAATCTGTTGTCTGCAAAATAAATTATACATGCGGCATATAAGTATATAAGCTAAAGTATACCACAACTTCTGCAAAACTTGGAAAAAAAAGTCTGAATTTACAATGCCAGTTGATTCCTGTTGTCAGTGTGATTATCTAGTGGTTATATCAGTGTTACTGAAACAATATCACAGTCAGAAACCCTGGTTCCTGTTGGCCCCACTGCCTACCCTTTTCCATTTGCTATTACAGTCCTTTTAGTCCTGGCTGAAACATTCTCTGTTGTCTTCACTCATTCTGTAATAACACATCACAGCTCCAGCACACACAGTCAGCCAGAAGTGGCAGTTTCTCAGCTCCAGTAAGTTCAGAACTCCATGAAGACTAAACTACTTCTGTTCCAGAACTCACCTTCCTTGAGATCAAGTTAAGCTCCTTAAGGAGACAAGAGTTTTGGGAAGTCTGTGCTGTAGCCTTGCCTTTCAGCTGCACCTGTCACGCGTAAACACTTTGGATTTTTGTATTTCCACAGCTGTGCAGACCCATCACTAAAATGCTGGTGGTTTTCACATTGCCCAAGTCGTGCTGCTGGTGAACACATCCAGCAAATCAGCACGGCCTCATAAACAGGGCACGTGACTGCGCTTGGGAGACGGAGATTCCCTTTCTGATTCTGACCCGTTTGATGAGTCTGGGACCATCACAGCTGCACTGTGCCATTGCTCCAGCCTTCACATCCCGCTGCGCTTCCCCTGCACGCGCTGCGGGGCAGGGCTGGCTCACACTGCTGTTTTACAGTGCCAAGCACAGACAAGGCCCTGGACACTTCTGCACATGGCAGTAAGAAATCCACTGTTAAACCTCTCTGTAATTATTCTTTTTCTTTTCACATGTAAATGTTCACATTTTAATGGAATGGAAATACCTGACTTGCTTTACTCCAAACTAATGAATCGAGTTAGTGCCATCAAAAGCTTCTTCTTGCAATTTAGGGACCAAGAAGACAATAAAAGAAAAGAAAGAGAACCAGCTATTCATTCAGTCTCCTTGTTGAGTCAGCACCAGGATGGTTATTTTTAATAAAGAGATAGAAATATTTATGCCTGAAGGACTAAGATTTGTTGAAGCTCAAGAGCTATGATAGAAAGAAATGGTTTTTTTTCCTTCCATTCAGTATTTACATATTAAAAGCATCTACTTTGCATATAGTACCTGTCATTGTCTCAACTCAATAAGAATCTATGCATAATATTTACAGGAAAGAATGCTGAGGTATGTAACTGCTAATATTAAATATTATTTTAAAGTATACTTCAATGTGTTATTACCAGAAGTAAAACTATACTCCAGAAGGAAGACTGTCAGAAAACCAGTAAAGTGGCCTTCAATTAATAACTAGTTAGAGAGTACATTTTCTTTGCATCAGTAAATTCTGTTTTAGCTTGGTGGACCTGATACTATGTGGGAGCTCGTGAGGAATACAAGGGGCCCACACACCTTAGCTGTGGGCTTCAGATTTGGGTGATAAAAAGGTGCACTGTTCATCCTCTCTTGATGCTCTCTGTACTTTCTTGGTGTGAACAACTTGTGATATTTCTCAGTTGCATTTCCCCTCAGCTCTGAGGATCAGCCATACTCAAAATATGTCAATTCTTCCACCACATCCCTTTTAACAGCCAATTTTATTTTTTCCCATCCATATTAGTAAAAAGCCACCCAGGTTATCATCATCTTGCACATCACCCACTGCAATCTCCCCTTCCCTCTGGTTTGCTTCCCTGTACCTGGTATGCCAAGTAGAGCCCTCTCCAAATGCTATCCAAGCAATCCATAATGCAGCACAGCCAGGAAATACCTGAGTCCTGTAATCCTATCCTCCACATGCCTCTCTAACTCCAGTCCCTCAGCACTGCTCTTCTGCCAGCAACCAAGGATTTCCTAGCACAGGTTAACAGCTTGATTGTCTCTCTCCCCAGGTATGGATCGGAGCCAAGGTAAAGATCTAATCTCAGGTGTTAGGAGTGGCAAGAACTTCCTTGATTAAAAAAGTGTCCTTAATGTTTTGCCAGCTCTTCTCCTCACTTCTCACCTATTAGGAAATGAGTGACACAAGAGAAATATTTCTACCCTCAAAGCTCTCTAATATGGATCAGATCATTACCGTATGTCTTCAGGTTTGGTGTTC